TATTTGCCATTATATATAAGTGGCTCAGATGCCAGGTGGTGCAAGAAAGTGAAAAATGCGAAAACAAAAACTTGAGAAATAAAGATTTTTGCTTTTTCCATAAATGTAAACGCGATATAATTATGCAAGGTCTGATTGATCTTGAAAACAGACTGATTTTTATTAATCGATGATATTATTATATTTTTACTAATTGATAGGTCACATTGTCTGCACTTCAAATCCACTAATAACTCGAAATCGAGTTTGAGCGGACCTATTTCACTTGGCACCTGAGCCATTCATAAATTAAGTCGCCTTTTATCGCTTATAAATGTAATAACGATGTACTAAAGATAGAGGGGAAATTAACATACCAACTTGAGATTCAAGATATTCAGATTGCCGCACGAGGATCCAAATTAGCGATCGTCGAGCATTTTTGACCGAGCAAAATACACCAACTCCGCAAAATATAGCGTTCAAAATACACGCTCTCGGAGACCTTCGCGTGAGAACACGCATTCCAGTTGATTCCAAGGATGGAACTCGCTCGCTTTGAAGTTAATTAACGTAGGAATCGTAAAAACGGCTTTTGAGGTCACACCGATTTGCAACACAGCGGTGCATATCGTGAGACAATTATGAGAAAAAGCTAAATAGCTATAATTAATCATAGCAAAAATAAAGTCATGGCGAAAGTTTTGTTGGTGGAAAAACTAGCTTGATAAAGTAACCTGATAATATGTATAATGATTAAACCTTCGGAGGGGAATTAAAGAGATTCTTTTTTTTCATTGCAATTTAAATAAAATTGATTAATAACGATACACGCGTTTAATTATCAAATTCCGGTGATGACGCTTGAAAAACCATGATCGCGACTATACGCGACACCGCGAAACTGATTTAAACATGCGAGAACGCTATTTTCCGCTCTAATTTCTCGTACACACCCAACGATTGCGTGCACGACTGAAAGGGGGCGTGGAAAAACTATATAATATATAGAATCATAACGCACATTTATAATCAGAATATATTACAATTAATCAAATCAAAAAGTTAATCAAATCAAATGGTAAAAGCGCTGCGTCGCAAAAACGTTTTTGCTAATCACGTTACTAATGAAAGGTTGGCATTTATCAATTTTTTGGCTGACTCTTTTTTATATCAATGCATACAAATTTGCAACGAAAGAAGTCGTTTTCAAGCGCAAACAATTTCCTCGTAAGTACAATTTTGTCAGAAGAAGAAGAAGCACTTCCTGCACATTTAAAAAAAAACAACGTTGCATTCATTTGCATTTTTATTGCAAGAGGTAGATACCAGAATGGTTAATAATTTGAAATAGTGAAAATGCGGTTTTTAGAACGACTATATAGAGGAAGTATCGAGCTTCCGTAATTGCGCGTCTATTTCGTCCGAAAACAAATTATCGTCACTGCAGACGCGTCATTTCCGCTGGAAATGTCACCGGGACGCTAACGACACGCCGCGCGGAAATTATTGACATGCGAGCGAATAAATGCAGTCTGATATTTTTCTGATCGAGATAATTGCACTAATGGCTCTTTCATACGTCGAACGTATCGAATACTGAAGAGCGATACGGTCTTTGATTAATTTCAATTGAATTGAATTTATATTCATTTCCGAAAAAATAAATTCTCCGAAAAACAATAATGAGAGAGAGAGAGAGAGAGAGAGAGAGAGAGAGAGAGAGAGAGAGAGAGAGAGAGGGAGAGAGAGAGGGAGAGAGAGAGGGAGAGAGAGAGGGAGAGAGAGAGGGAGAGAGAGAGGGAGAGAGAGAGAGGGAGAGAGAGAGAGGGAGAGAGAGAGAGGGAGAGAGAGAGAGGGAGAGAGAGAGGGGGAGAGAGAGAGAGAGAGAGAGAGAGAGAGAGAGAGAGAGAGAGAGAGAGAGAGAGAGAGACGTGCACTAAAAATAAATATTCCTTTTCCTCCTTCTTTTGTGTTTTGTTATCATTTATTTTTATGTGTTTTAACAAAAACACATAAAACTCGGCGTTGGAAATGTTTAAACAGTTTTTCCTTTTTTTATTCGAGAAAAAGAACAGTCCATTATTACGTGCATCTAATTCTATTTGTATTACGAAATCACTCTGTCAACACACGGTCGTTGAGAGAATCGATGTCAGGGTTACTTCGACGCTGTAAATGTCGATAAATCTACCGCGCGCGCAGCTCGGCTGATCGCATCCGGCGATAAAATTCAGCCCCTTGCGACACGCGGAACGCGAAATAACTGCGATAAATATCGTTGCTGGGGATCCATCGATCTCACTGACGGATTCTAGCTGTTTTCGACGCCGATAACTCCGTTCGCTGCTAATAGTTTCATCTTCGAGAGCCGATCGCGTTACCGTACCTTGGATTTATATCGTCATCGGTGCCGCTGAAATTTTCTCCGGACGTGATCCGGAGGAATTTGTTAGAGTTCAAAGTTTGGATTTTTTTCCCTCGAAGTTATTAATTCAGCTTATCTCTCTCTAGATAAAGAATTTTAGAGAACGCATCCCAGCGATCTCGGAATCGGAGATACGCAAAATAAATATCGCATCTTTATTTGAAAGCTGAATAATGAACTTGACCCGTTGCTTCCATGAATACAAATCGCCGAATAGGGGGTTTTCGTGAAACGAGAGCTCGCGAAAGATCACGAAAGATCATCGGAGGATCGCTTTGTGCATCAACGAGTCCACTCGCTGCTTCAAGAGACTTTCCTATCGCGTTGATCGACGTTGACGTCGTTTCGACCACTCGTCGTTGTGCTTATGTCGAACATGTTGGACACTTTTCAGACGCGGACATCACTCGCGTCCTCATCTCTAACACTATATCTACGCCGGAAGTCTTGAAAGAGGGTTGTGCAGCGACTCGCCATGAAATTCTTACAGCTGCAATCGTGATGTTGACGTTCGTCCGACCGTGTAAACTTTCCGGTAAATTGAACGCCGCTCTCTCACTTTGCCCTCGTCATTCAACCCTTCCGCATTCGTTATCCTCTCGAGTTTTTACGTTCAATTAACGAGGGATCTATTTTATCGAGCACTGACTAATTTCGTGTTAAATCCTCTGGCACATTAGGCACGAAATTAATTAATTAAATCCGAATGATGGTAATTAAACCGCGATATTTCGCAAAATTGTGGGCAAACCGAGCCGTAAAATAGATTTGTCGAGTGAAATTATGATTCAGAGAACGGGATAAAATTCCGCAGCGTCTAATTGTCCTGTTTGAGTTATATTATTTAGTTATCATTATTTTTAACGCAAATTTCACGCGAATATGTAAGCTGTCGCAGATGTGTTTGGGTTGATTATAATTTGATTTATTACAACAGACATTCTCCCAACTCCTTTGTAATTTGACACTACATTCGAAAGCTACAAAACTTTTTTTCCAGTATTAAATATATTTAATGGATGAAAGAAAGAAATGGAGGAGTGAGAAGAGAAACAGTTAATTTAATGAAGCGGTCAATTGGATAGTTACGGTAGCGCACAAATGGCTCCCGCGGGCGCCGGAAGATCATTGTATTATGCAGTACAATCGAACACGGTGTCTATAATTGGTCATTTATACATTTATCAGTATACAACCAACACATATGTGTCCCACTAAATAATTCTCTCTAATCGAACCTAATCGCATCACAAGCATGCCGCTCGCAAACATTCAAAAAGTTCCCACATACATCCCTATCCTTCTCTCTCTCAGTCCCATAACTTTAGTAACAATTTTTAAATGATTAGCAAATATTGCGATATCGCATATATTTTGCACGTAATCAATCTAAATGATTGAATTTATATTTGAATTGTTATGAAATTTGGAAAAAAAATTTTTAATAGCACCTGTCTGTTAATTACTTGTTATAAAATTTGACATAAAAAATCGTTTATTACAAAGATTATTACAAAGATTATATTAGCTGTAGTATTTCATTTATCGAATGTAATGATTAATATTGCCAATGGGACCTAAATTTGCCAGAAGATACTACTAGTATTTGCGGCTATAAATTCTACAAACAATATATTTTAATAGGTGCAAAGATATAAGCGATAAATTTTTATTGTTAAACAAAATGAAAGATTTATCTACATCAGCAAAATATTTTTTTCGAGTAAATTAAGCGACACAAAAAAAAGATATAGAGTCGCCAGAGAAAAACGCATTCATCCGTTTACGGATATAACTCGAGAAGAAGGAAGAGTAGTTTAAGTAAATAACGTTAATAAAAATGATAATAATAACATTCGCACGACTAATACGCGCGCGGGCGCACGCACGCATGCACGCACGCACTCACGCACGCAGCCGCGTGTCGTGTCGTGCGGGTTGAGGTTGTTTATCGATTGGCAAGTCTGACCTAACACTGACACACTTCACTCGCGGTGGTCTGACCTCCGTTCCGTATCGCGCGGTATCGACCACCCCCATAACCTTAGGATTTATACAATTTCTCGTCGACTGACACGCGGCCATTTGCGGGCGTGTTGAGTTACGCGCGCGCGAACCACCTTCCGGATTAACGTCATTTCCCGGTAACGAGGATAACGGGCTGCCCACCATTGCGCGCTACACAATTCCCTGGCCGAGCTAATGGAAGACGACCGCTTCGTTTTTCAGCGCTCCAGGATGTCCGGGGTATTCGCGTTCCGGAAATATTGTATATTGTATCGCGGATTTTCTTGTAACAACTTAACGTTGTTTTTCTCTTTCGTCGCTTGAATCCTTTATGAAGTTAGGAGTGACTCGAGTTCCGTCGAGCTATCCAGGCTCGTAAAAAGCTTACTTTTAATGAAGCAATTATGATAAAATTGTCACGCGAAAAAGAGATAAATCTTTAAAAAATTTTATAAATCTCTCAGATATGATCTCTTTTTAATTTTTTAAAATAAATTACGGCCGAGAAAAATTATCACAGCGAATATGATTAATCGTATACAAGTTTAATGAATCCCGGCTGATTATTCTAATTTATGACTTTCAGCCCGTTAACATGTGGTTCGCCCACAATGATGGAATCTTGGGGCCCTGGGAGAACCGGCACGCCACCGCCGGGTCTGCCACCCCCGCCCTCGGCGGGGAGCAACAACAATGGTGGCGCAACAACATCAACGACCATCCCGAGTGTCATACCGCAGCCCGGCACTACCGCTCCCATCGCCAGTCCCGAGGGAGTGAGCGATGTGAGTAGAAAAAAGTTTATTTATGTTTGCTACTCCGAACACGCGATCGTCCGAGGACCCATCAGCATCGCGATCAATTAACGGGTGGTAATTAAAAGCGTGATACATGCGCGCGTGAGCGAAATGGCAATTACGATGCACGTTTAATTTTCACACGTCCTTAGATAATAAAACGGACATAAATCTTGAAGCTCAATCAGCGCAAAATTATTCCGCTGATGATCCCGTTCGATGGGATTTACCATGATTGACTACGTAAAGCGTTGAAAGTGACATTGATCTTATACACGAGAGAAATTATTTGACAAACGATATTTCTGTATCGCGTTATCGGGAAAAAAGAAGGGTGAGATTCTCCTCGAATTTCGAAACGTTTTAGTCGCGTTTTTCGCATTACGTATGCCCATAATTGAAACTCGCGTTTAACATGCACATGGCGGCGATAGCCTCCAAAATTCCGGGAGCAAGTAAGTTTTGCGCAACCGACACTACACGTAGGTAGCTGCAGAGAACGGGCAAAGGTTATCGCACGGCCATACGCGGGTTAATGGCGCATGCATGAGCCGCTGCTGTACAATCCGAACACATGTTAGAGTCTCGTACATCGACGAGCGAAACTCTCTCTTTCTCTTTCTCTCCTTCTCTCTCTCTCTCTTTCTCTCTCTCTCTCTCTCGTACCCACCTACCCATCCCTTCCGTTCGTTTCAATTTCACGAGCACGCCCGTCCACTGGACGTAATGGACGTCGACCGTGCTGTCGAACCGAGCTAATAGGATCAGTCGTACGTGCCCGATACAGTGACCCGAGATTCCTCGAATTTTAAGGATACTGGTTGCCGCACTGCCGATGTAAGACTGCGGAAAAATCCCCTTTTCCGGTAAATCACACCTGAAATGCTCCATCGAGAGGAAATGAAAAAAGAAAAAATACGTATAATTCGATGCGTTAATTAATTTTAATAACTTTAATAATCAACATTTCGATTTGTATTTCTTAAAAAACTACGTGATCTTCTTGAAAAGATATTATCGGAAACATGACGAATTTAATCAATCGTGGCCGAATACGCGATCGTGTTGCGTTTCCAGGTCTCACAAAAATCGGGACTCTGGGAGGGCGTAAATACATCGGGAGGCGCCGCGGAGGGTCCTTCGCGAAGTGTTTCTCATGCAGCGAGTTTGGACGCGATCTCGAAGAGAGCCGTGAAACCGGAAACAACGAGGGCACCTTGTCGCAGCCTTACTTGCAGCGTCTGTAAGTACACAATGATTTTTTCACTTTGCGTCATTTTCATATTCTATTCTTCGTGTCCCGAATTAGCGCTTTCTACAAAGCGATATTTTACTTGACGTACATATATATATATATATGTACATATATATGTGTGTGTTTTTGTACATTTATAATATAATATAAATATATAAAATGAAAAAGGTAAAATAAAAGTAAATAAAAAATAAAACAAAAGTAAAAAAAGTAAAATAAAAAAAATATATATATGTAGTCTGACGATTCGTTTCTCCAGCTGCATTGCATTTCAATCGTGGCCAGCAGAATGCAGTTTATTTTCCTAAAAATAGCGAGGCCAGACAAGTGCAATCACAAGTCGTGACTGATGAAATCTTTCTCTTTCGATTTCGTCGAACATTTTTTGCAAACAATTAAAAGAGATAGTTTTAATTTGTGATAAATTGATATCGCAATCATTCTTGGTTATTTTAAATCATTTTAATTGATTTTTAATTGATTCGAGTAACCATTTTTAATAAACCCAAATAATTTTATTTGAGTTCGACAAATAATGTTTACGTTATATAGCTTTATCGACCATGATTCGTTTTGCGAAAACTTTTGCAAATGACACAATAAAAATCGTTTTTACCCCAGAAAAAACATGGGAAATTTTCGCTCGAAAAATTTTGCGCGGATTTGTAATTACGAATGGCGCATGTAACCGCGCGCGTAAACATATGTTCTGTAGTTTAAATAACAATTAATGGAACCGCGGTTAATAATAATATTGTTGCATGCGATATTTCATGCCGCGGATGTTGACAGATAGTTGACCAACTGGCCTTTCCTACCGCGCTTCGCAAGCAAAACTCTCTATAACGTCGCGCTATTTCGATGTATATACGTGAACTTTTGCATATTTACAGATAGAGACTGATAAATAAGTTGCCTTTATGTAGTCCATTTGCGGCGGAAAAGGGGGAGAGTATGTCAGAAGTGAAAGAGTCCCCGTCGAGCACAGAAAGCTTGCGATTTATGCTTCATAGAATTAAATTGAAATTATATGTCCCTTCCTCTATATATGTGTATATATATTTATATAACTGATTGCCAGAAATCGATTTTTGATAAATCAGTATTTCGATATCTGTCGCACCGATATTTATTTTGCATTAATGTGTAATCTGTCAGGGCGAAGAAATGCGGTTAAATAAGAGCGCGTTACGTTTTCTCGATAAACTTTTATTCTCTCGATTACACCGCAAGGATCTCTGTCTCTTGAAATCGTAGAATAAAATCTGCAGCTAAAGACATTCTCTTTCGAGTTTGAAAAACGATCTTGATGATGTAAATGCGTAACACTGGTAGTTGTACCAGTCACAGTTGAAATGCAGATAAGAAACTATGTAATTGTCATGTGATTTAGTGTTGCTTTCAAGGGAGCAAAAAGTTTATCTAGAACACAGGAAAAAACGCATTTCGCTCACAATTTCCATCTGAACGCGTCCGACTAAACGTCACCATTCTTAGCGTCATCGATAATAGATGTTAAATTTTACGCTTGTGAAGAGGAGTATAAAGAAAACATTATTTTGGGATACGGAAAAGATAATAAAAATTTGAAAGAAATTTGCCAGATCCTGCGCCGGAAATCTTGCGCTTATTTTTAGTCCAGTCACGTAGAAAGATTCCATAAAAAGAGCATCCCAAAATAACCGACATTATGCGTTCAACACATACAAAGTTATCGCGGGAAACACATTATATCGGTGCGAAATAACTTCCGTTTTTTTGTATACAAAAAACTTAATAAAGAACTACATTGCACGGAACTGGCGAAACTGTCGTATTTTCGCACAGTATCAGGAAAAGTTTCAATGAACGAGCTACGCCCTAGAATATCTTATTGCGACGATAATTTTGAATTAAAGAATGTTTTATTAAATATCTCGGAACGAGGGTCTCATAATGTCTCTGTGTCACGATACAATATTCAAACACTATACTCCTCTTTCCTGCGGCGAAGGATTACAGTACCTCTTGGAGCCATCCCTCCCTCTTCTTCCCCGTTTCATCTTATGCATTATGTATCGTCTTTGTTAGCTTAATGGCGACTCCCGTCACGAAGTGTCAATTCAAAATCAAACCTCAGTAAACTATTTTAGTAGCGGGCCGAGGGAGCGAACACGTCACCCTCGAGCGACGACCAGCCACAGTCGATAATCTAGCTGAAGGTAAAATAGGAGGGAGCAACCACCCTGCTCTCTTGGTTTCCTTTAACCGACTGAGTGCCAACCGGCGCGCGAGCTTGCACCCCTTTTATTACAACTTACCAAGCGCTTGCAGCTTTCTTGTTATCATGAGCTTTCGAAAGATAACTTCGTACTACTTTCGTCCGATTGAGCTTTTATAGGCCTACTTCTACCACTTACACCCCACTTTACTATTGTTATTCTACTTATATATTATTACTACTTATACTACTTGTACTATTTACGCTAGCATTGAACTCCACGTGAAAGAGTGCTGCCATTTTATACCTTCGATTATTATCAGACGAGCACTGTAGCCTCGCTCAATCAGCCATTTTGTATTCGCGAACCTGAGGACTCGCAAACATTCGTCTAGATGTCTTCAATTGTACTCTGTCCAAAGTGATCCACTTTCTTCGTGAGTCAATACGCTAGTCTAATTTAAGCTTCATTACTAAATCAAATTGAGAAGAAACTTTCCGACACAGAATGTGTACATGTATTTTTCTTCGAGAAAAATGGAGCGTTTTCGCTTCAATTATAATGTTATAAAAATTCTATTATGTTTTTCCACATTAAATTTATTTAATCTCTTCCGAGACAGATGTATTAAAGTTGGAAAAAGTTATTTTATCTTTTTTTATTTATATTTTTTTCCATCATATATTTATAATTATTAAGCAAAATAGAAAAAATTGGAGATATTTAAAATCTCTAAAAAAGTAATGTACACATATGTATTGATATCTTTAAAGGGATTAAAAAATATATTATTTAGACAAAGATGTAATAAATATTTGTTTCATATATTATAAATATTTTCGCTCAAATTACGTCGAATTTTGTCTTGATTTTCGCTTGATCGGAGACGGGTTCTTCGATCACTGGATGACTGGGCAAAAGTAAAGAAGACATTTCGAACACATTTTGGCTGATCGAGGGTTTTACGAGGATTAAATTCTTAGTTACGCTTCTCTTTACAGCGGGACAAGAATGGCTGACCTTTCACGGCTTCTTTTACTTCAACACATAATGCAAATATCACGATGCTTTCCGGACACACGCCCGGAGCATCATTACGTATCATTATATTATATCTATTATATGTGGAGCCACGTATAATCATGAAAAAATACGCGATCAACAATAGCCATATCATTGTATCTATATCATTGTATAAATCATCTCAGCAAGACGATCCCCATCGTATACATTACAATATTACGTATTCAACGTAACATCTAATTAAAAAGCATCGTCACTCGATTTATGATCAACATTTTTTTACGAACAACAATAAAACGATCTTTCTTTCACAGGTATGCAGCTTCTAGTGCGGATTAACTGACTCGTTTTACTAACACTCTTGAACGCTTCTAGATCGAGATATAGGCTCGGTTATTTATTTATTTTTCGAGCTCGTACAACATCGAAGCGATTATCAATATTTGATAATATTACAATTATATTATATTATATTTGATTGTTGTTGTTTGCACGTTATATTTTATAAAGCAAATAATAATATTTTTAATGTTTATTTTTTTTTATATTTTCTCTAACACATGTTTTTGTTTCCACTTTGAATATTAAATTAATTTAAAACATCACAGAAATAAAATTTATCCATTTTATACGTATGATCGCTTCGATGCGCAAATTATTGTAATGATATTAGATTAGTCTAATATGCTAATAATAAATGGTCGTAAAACTCGACCGGAAGAATTATATCGTTTAAGATATGTATTATTGTATACGCGTGCCTGTTTTATACTAGATTATTACAAAGCTACAGCTTCTTTCATAATCATTATAAATATGTCGAGAGGCAATTAATTCTAGCAAAGAGTATGTAAATATTGATTGGTCTTGTAACTTAGATTATTAGTTATTATTATTAATTGCTGTCGCCATTCTCAAAGACTCGGTGGGAATAGATTTGATTCGATCGAGCCTGTATTTCGCACTTATAGATTTTGAATTAACAATACGTATAATGATGATATCACATTGTCACGCGATTAATACGATTTCGAAGGGAAGATTCACGTATATCTTTCACTTTTGTAGCAACGAAACATTCGAAAATCTTTCCTGGCGTTGCTTCTGAAAGCGATCTGCAGAAATGGCGAACGTCCAAGGACCGAAAATCGCCATCTCTGAGTCAGATGGGGCCGGATTCCATCAAGCACAAAGTGAGTTTTGATTGTTGTGTGCAGAAACACGTGTACTACGTAAAAATCATCTACATATTCAATCTTTGCGTCTTGGCTTAAACTATTTTTAATCATTATTAGATACAAATTCGATTTAATTATATAATAAATCATGATAAAGAATTGAATAATTTTTTATAGCCAATATTTTATTTTAATATTTTAGTAACAAAAAAAATATTTTATTAGTATTTTATTGAATATTCTTTATTTTAATGAATATTCTTTATAACATTACAGTTTTCCTTACAAGACAATGGATCTGCAAAGTATTTTCAAGGAGCGATGCACACACCAAACATGGGAGAAAAAGTCGCTCAGGTGAGTGATTCTTATATATCAATTAGAAAGTAATATTAACAGAATCTGCGAGAAGAAATACACAGTTTCAATAAAGTGCAATATTAAAAGGTATGCACTTATTCGAGAGAATTAAATTTTTTAATAATGAACATCTTATTATATATATATGCATAACGTAAAATGAATCCATATAAATTGAAATATCGTATCGAAGTTGATTTGCAATCGTATCTTTCGTAATCTCGCGAATATTTCGAGAGACGACAGGAAATTAAAAGCATCGTAGTAAAGTTTGATGCTAATTGAAATTTGTGCAAAACCGTTTTCCGGAAATGAAAATGTCAACCGTCTTTTGGTGGGTCAAAAGTTTCTTCGCTCACTTGAAGCACTTTGGTTTCGTGAATTAAGGATAGGTCTCGTCGAGAAGTTAAATCTCATTTGTTGATGCCGACCAAGTGAAACGTATTTTCGTCACGAAATACATTTGCCAAATTATAACGAATCTCTATTGTTTCTGTTATTCCGAAACAATTTATTTTTTCCAAGAAACAAATTACCTAATTAGTGTGATAAGAAACTAGATTTCGATTATTTTCATATTATTCATTGTTTCTAATTTTTCAATAAAAGTAATAAGTCAAGAAATAATTATATTACATTACATAAATAGACAATAATAAAAATAAAATTAAAATTAAATTAAAATTAAAATAAAATAAAGTAAAAATTAAATTAAATTAAATTAAAATAAAAATAAAATGAAAGAAGATTTAATATATATATATATATATTATTTTTCATCAAATTATTGCGCGCTAACAATTCCGATTTTTTACAGTTATCTTATTGAAAAAATTCTTTTATTAATTCCTATATTTTATATTTTATAATTCTTACATTTTATTAATTCTTACATATTAAATAAATTTGTATTATTCACAGAAGATAAACAAAACTTGGTTTTTTTTTATTTTTTTTCTTTAAACATCATTTTTCATATTCAGTACATGATTATAGATAATGCATGAGAAATGCAGCAAAACGAGCAAGTTTTTAAACATTTAGTAGAACAGCAGAACGCGAGGGTCGGGGGAGGAGATTGTTTGCATACGGGTATACATTTAACATACTGCCTTACATTAATACAGCCCTGACTGGCGCCAATCCGACTATGTCGCAGTCTCGTAGGCGGAAATCTCCCGCAGCGTGATATCCTGGCAAAATGACGTTAATTTTCCAGCGAATACCTACGTGGTCGCTGCGAAATCCCGCGACTCGAAAAAAGATCCTTCCGGATGAAACCGACGGAATATTTTCATTTAATATTATCAGCGATGCGCGAAATTGGAAAGTGTCTCTCATAATAAGTCCATTCGAGCATGTCACGCCAAAGTAGTAATGCCATAAAACATCCGACTCTGTTGTTTGTATCAATGTTCCTGATATTATACCAAAAAAAAAATTATATTCACGACATCACGCTTTCACAAAATATGAGATAATTTGACAGACAGTAATGTGATTCGAAAGAGCGATTTTGATCTTATTATATGTCGTGTCGAACAATAATAATATTATCATACTCCGGATATAAACGATAATATGACAAAACTGTTCTTTCGCGTGCATTATTCTTTTTATCGTGTACAAGCATAATGTTAAACGAAGCGAAATTTTATCTATGGAAAACAATTTTTTATCGGCACAATTGACGACCCATTGTTCTTCAACGCTGTAGTATTTTTCATAAATATCGGAAGAAGATTAAACAAGTCTTTTAGGTCAATTAAATTTTTAAAATCTTATTGGAAATAATAAACACGTTCTATGTATACGTGTAATTATTAGTACGCTAAAGCTTTACACTTTTATATGTATGAAACAATTAAAATTCAATGTTTATTTCCTCTAACATTGTAATTATCCGTTGAAACATATTGTAGCTTGCAATATGCAAATTCAATTTACTCAACAAAGTCACGCAGCCTTCCAAGAATACATAACATATATATGTTGTATGTACTTTGATATTGTTGTAACTTAGATCATTACTTCGTGACCCAAGCGTGTTAATCCAAGTGATTATATAAATTATGGATGCAATTGCTCCGACTTGCAAACAACATTTCAGCCGAGGTGACCATTATTTCACGACGAAGCTTAACAGAAGAGCAACTCTCTCCCCCTGTCTCTCCCTCCCTCTTTCTCTCTCTCTCTCTCTTTCTCTCTTTCTCTCTCATTCTCACTATGTTTATTTATGTAAACCAAGAATGGCTATCAAATTTCCAATATATCGATATTCGATACCGCCGCATTGTAGGGATTTTTATCATATATGTTGCTACAATAATTATATCGGTGTCAATAAATCAATTTTTGCAGTGTGCAAAAGCGCTGGCAAGTTTTTTTCTTCGAACGGATTTGTTTAAAAGTTCTATAGAAGAATCTCAGATTTCTTTTACATTCTTGTTTTACAGAAACGCAATGTAAAATCTGTATCTTCAGCGTTGACGAAAAATAGTTACGTTTATAAATCTTGCAAATTTATTGAAAAAGATACAAAAGCTTTCAAATATGATAAAATCTCGACGTAACTATAGTTACGTCGCTTTGAATCGTTTACATAAAAACGCATGGGATTCAAAACCGAAAATAGTATCGCGTAAGCTTTCTCTTTTTAGCCAGCTTTCGTAACATTCCGAGAATTTGCGTATTGAAAGATGTAACAGCTGCGACGTAACGTCAAGCAGCCAATAATTAATAGCATCATCGAATAGCTAACATTCCGCGCTTATTTCGTGGCAAATTCTCGATATCTCTCGCAATGAATTCCGATACTTTCTGTCTTGATTTCAATCAGAATTGCATAATTGTCGGAAGGCCGTTACAGACGGAGGCAAATGAGAGAACAGAAGCTGGAGAATGTCTAATTAATAATGGTAATTAATGGCTCGAGGGAGTGCGTGCCGCAAAGTTCCCACGATAAATGTCCGTGCTAAATTTAAAATGAAGCGATCACAATAATGAAATAGTAATGCCGAATGGTGTATTCAGTCATTCAGTCATAATTGATTATCTTTTTTAACAGGAAACGACTGTAGCACGTGGAAAATTAATCATCTTCTTACGAGGATGTCATTAATCAAACGAAAGCAAGGAGCTTTTCTAGTAATCTCTAGTCGTCTAGTGTTTTCGATTTTGAAAACAATAAATATGACATTCTTTCTCTCGATTGGTCCTTGCGAAAGCAGATTCTATGCAAAGCAGCAATTTATTTATGCAGTGCGAGAATCTCGATGTCGTGAGTGTTCTGGGATATTGGGCTATTCCATAAATTCGATCGTCCGCTTGTTTACCGCGAACTGAACAAGAATAGGATCGCGTCCAAATATATAGCATCCGGTTGCGGAGGAGATTGTACGGAAATAAAGATCGTACCGGAAGTGCGGGAGTGCTCATAGTGTCGATCGGTGCGTTGCCGGAGAAGAGGCGAGTCCGCCGACTGGCGGATTGCCCGCGAAAGAGAACGAAGGGAGAGCGACTTATCGGGGCGCACGCGTATCGAAATGAGAGGGACCGGGCCGGGGTGGAAAGGGTGCGAGAGAGGGTGCGAGAAATTCACGAGCCTCCCGTTATAGGGCGCTCCGATCAGTGTCGCAGTGTCTGCGCCTTGTTCCGCCCGGCAGGTAGCTTCGTCGTCACTCCGTCCACATCCTCGGCGAAGGAAGATCGCGTATGCGAACGGTGATAAGACGTCCTACTTTCGCATTCTCTCGGATTTCGTGGGGGGAGAGAGAAAGAAAGAGAGAGAGAGAGGAAATCCCCCGCGCGATCAATTCATTCAACGTCGCGCCCTCCGTGCTCGAGGTCCTCGAGACACGCGTTCTCCCTTCGTTTTTCACTCAAGATTATGACAGAACACCGAGTAGTACCAACCAGTGGTACCCACGCCGACTTAGCCGCGAGTGATCGGGATCGTTCACCATCGTTCGCGAACGACGGTGCCTAAGATCGAGATCGTTTCTCACGAGGGTACATACGTGCGCTCCGATACACGTCGACGGTGGTTCGCGAGGATCGCCAATGATCGCGAGGATCTCGCAAAAGTCGTAAGCCAGGTAGACCCTCGCGATCTCTCGAGGCGATATCCGAATCCCCCGAGTTCACGACGAGGCTCGCGGGATAAGTCCCTGTAAATTGCCGTGGAGCTTTTCGGGGGTCAAAGAGATCATCAATCGATCGGCCCTGAAAGTCGGCGGGCAAACCATAGTGCGCCGGCGACGACGAAGGGGTCGATCGTAACCGATGACGGCAGTGAACGTCGAACCGCGAACGGTGTGAACGTGTGTTTTAAACGAAGTTTTTCTTCCAAGTACAAATAAAAATATATAAAATACTCGGCATGTAAGAAACGAAAGTTACAAAGAAGTCGCTGCGTTTGTTACATGCCATTAAAATAATGTACAGGTTGTTAAAGTGACTCGCACATTTCTTATAATATTAGAAATATCTATAAATATATTGTAATAAAAGAAAAAGAAAGAATTTTCTTCTAGAAAAATATAAATTCTCTCTTATATTGCTATTTTTATTTATTTATTTATTTATACGTACATATTACATACATGTTCAATTCTCCATGAAAAGTATCGATAATAAGTTAAATAAAACTAAAGTTAAGATAATTAATTAATTAAATACATATAAAATTTAGTATCAATTTTGAAGATGAATGAAACGAGGAATTTTCTGTTATGACATTTTTCCATATCGTAATTCCTATGATAACTTTTTATATCATGGATTGTTTCGCGTATCAACATGCTCAATCTTGAAAACTTTAAATACTTTTTAAATGGAGGTGAATCCACTGACGATTTTACTCGATCAAACTAAATTACTACTTATTCATAATCGGTGCTTTAATGCAATCTGTGCCAAGTAGCCATAATTCATCCATCTCTCTTCAGCATTATTCATAATTCACGTTCCCGCAAAATGCCTTAGATTCATTGCAT